GAAAGAATTAAATGCACAAATTACTGCTTTAAGAAAAACGGTAACAAAAGGGGACAAAAAACGTAAAAAAAGATGTTCAAATTGAAATCGAAAAACTTGAAAGAGATCTCCGAGGCAGACAACAAAAAGAGTTTAGTCTACTCGAGCCTCAGAACTCTAATAAAGCTGATTTGACTGCAAGTAATTTTTATAGATAGACTCTAATATCTATGATATTGAGGTTAAACTTGTCCTAAATGATATTAAATAATTTGCTTTCTGGTGATCGACTAAATATTCAGCCAACAATTTGGACGAGAGTAAGAATGATGATTTAGATGATATTACAGATAGATTATTGGCAAGGTTAGAGGCTACACATATCGATAACGAAATAAAGACGCCTACACAACCCAAAATTGATGAAAACATCAGAAAACCAAAGATAAACAGGCAGCAAGAAAGAAAGGTGTTAAATTCTTTCTATATGCATCCCATGAAGTTGATTCAAAATTAGATGATTTCGAACGAGTTTTCTTTAATATAGAGGAGAAAGGCGGCCAAGCTAGCTGAGATGCAACGCGAAGCCGAGGAAGATGCAAATAATCAAGTCAATATGAGAGAAGTGGAACTCAATGCAATTAAAGATTTGGCTGAAAGAATGGGATTAATTGTTGAAGAGGTGATTAAATAACTTGTTTACTCCTGGTGTTCATTCTTTTGTTTTAACCTTTTGAACTACGAAATGAACCGATGATATTCATTCGAGATGTTAGATCGTACCAGATGGTCATTGGTATGTGCATTTGTGGATGGTTTTATGAATATCGAATCAGTCGTTTCTAAATTTATTCTGTCTTTAGTCTTTACAATGCCATATCCGACCAATTACGAATAAGGTATCAAATGGAGGTAAAATAATACCCTTAGTATAGTATCTCTAAATGTCAATGTTTGTTGATTTTCTTTTAACTGTTAGGCAGATTACAAGAAGATAAGGAAGGGTGTTGCAGCCTACATGCGTAATAATGTTGATGAATTCGTAGCGTTTATACCAAATACTCAAGACGGAGAACTTTGCAGTCTGGGTACGAGGTTTTATTATTTGATACTGAATATATATATATATTTTTTTATGTTTACCTTTTTTTTACATGCACTCAGAGCAATTCAATAAATACTGTGATGATATAGAGAATACTGCGGTGTGGGGCGGTGAAATTGAGGTATTGTTAGTATTAATGGTATTTCATCTGTATATACATTTGGATAATAAAAGACAAATTATTTTTTATTAAATCATAATTAGTTACGAGCAATTTCGAAGGTTTACAAAGTTCCTGTCCATATTGTACAGATGGATTCTCCATTGTTAAAGATGTCTGATGACGAATTTCCCGGAAAAGAACCAATGACCATTTCGTATCCTTTTTATTATGTTGTTAAATACGCAATATATTTATTATCATGCCTTAACATATACTTCTTTTATTCTAGATTTCATAGGTACATGTATGGATTAGGGGCTCATTATAATTCACTCCGGACTACATTGTAGAATTATATGTAAAATATTTCCATTATTAATTTTGTGCGTATCGTTGAGGCGACATACACCCTAATAGCTGTTAAAGAGTTTTTAATTAGTAATAATTGTTAAATGGAAATATCCTGCCAATAAAAGAAAATGTAATGTACCGATAGTGTTCCGGTTTAAAAGGACCATCAGGATGTATTCCAAGATACTCGGATTGAGCGGGAGACAGTTTTGTAAGCTTAACGCCCAATTTTTCAAGATGAGCTGCGGCGACTTCTTCATCAAGTTTCTTTGGTAACACATGAACACCTAATGGGTAAGTATTGGTTTTGTCTGTCCAAAGAGCAATTTGAGCCAATACTTGGTTTGTGAACGAATTGCTCATCACAAAACTTGGATGACCCGTAGCACACCCAAGATTGACCAATCTTCCTTCGGCAAGGAGAATTATGTTTCTTCCATTGCTCAAAGTATAACGATCAACTTGGGGCTTGATATTAACATGGGCGACTGCATTTTTTTTGAGCCAGGCGACGTCAATTTCAATGTCGAAATGTCCAATACTAAAAATAATAGGAAATCAATTATCATAATATGATGAATGGATAAAAATTAGATACTAACTTGCACACAATAGAATCATTCTTCATCTGTTCAAAATGTTCGCCTAAGATAATATCACGATTCCCCGTGCAAGTAACGAAGATATTTCCCATTTTACACGCCTCTTCCATTATAGTAACCTCATAACCTATAACATGGATTTTTTAAATAAATTTACGTGTATATATTATATAATAAAAAAGAATTACCTTCCATTGCGGCTTGAAGGGCATTTATGGGATCAATTTCGGTGATAATTACGCGTGCACCCATTCCGCGGAGGGCTACTGAACAACCTTTTCCCACATCACCGTATCCAGCAACGACTGCGACTTTACCCGCAATTTGAATATCAGTAGCACGCTTGATTCCGTCGATTAGTGATTCACGACAGCCATAAAGATTATCGAACTTTGATTTCGTCACCGAATCATTTACGTTAATCGCGGGAGCCTTTAAAGTGCCCTCCCTCAACATCCTGTATAGATTATGTACACCAGTAGTTGTTTCTTCCGAAATTCCTTTTATGCCTTCAAAGAGAATAGATTTATAAATATAAGCTATATTTAATATTGAAGATTTCATTTTATTTACCTTCTAGAAGCTCTGGAAATTTTTTATGAACTAGATTTGTTAAATCACCACCATCATCTAGGATCATGTTTAAAGGTTTTCCATCCTTGAAGGCATGAAGGGTTTGTTCAATGCACCACAGATACTCTTCCTCAGTTTCTCCTTTCCACGCGAACACAGGTACGCCAGTAACGGCGATGGCGGCAGCCGCCTGGTCTTGGGTAGAAAAAATGTTGCAAGAACTCCACGACACTTCAGCCCCAAGCTGCGTGAGTGTTTCTATTAACACGGCTGTTTGGATTGTCATATGAAGGCAACCAGCGATACGGGCTCCAGTCAAAGGTTTTGTTTTACCATACTTTTCACGCAGAGTCATCAAACCGGGCATCTCATTTTCTGCCAATTCGATTTCTTTGCGCCCCCACGCGGCAAGAGAAACATCAGCTGTAATAGAAAGTATATGCGTTATATTGTTTGTTTTCTATGATTTACGGAATAATTTCCGCGAACTTACCAACTTTAAAACTATGCATCATAAAATTTTATTAATTCTCGTTCGCGAGCAGTGGAGCAGTGGAACAGTTGAAAAAAATTTTTTTTTGATTTCAATCTCGATTTTTATCAGACTATCATGTTACGTAATTACCACATGTCTCCGAAAAAGGTCGGATATTAAATAAAACATACCCTTATCGGGATTCGTTTTAATAGGACGGTAACAGATTAGTAATTGTCAATTTAATTATCGTTATACTGTATTATCATTTTTTGGAATATCAGATCAAGCCTAGTTATATAAGTTTAGTATCAATTATACAATCTATATTAATATAATAAAACATTATTATTAAATAATTATTTATTATTTTTTTAATATTAAAACTTTATTTATAATTTATCAATTTATTATACAATTTTTTTTTTTTTTGATAAAATAAGAAATTTTTATGCTTCTATATTAATAAAGTTTTATTATTCTCTTTAAATCAACTTAAAGAGAACTTTAAGAATCATCTCTATTTTCTTTTTTTTTCTTATTAATATTTTTTTTAAATAAAAACTTAATTTTTAATTTAAAAGTTAAGCAATATCTTTTCTATAGTAAGAAAATTTTTTTTAAAAAAAAAACTAAAATGTTGCTGTCCATTTATCTATCAGAAAAACATTATAGAATCTTGTTTAAAATAAGAAACTTATTTTGAAGATATTCATATTTTCTTGTTATATTTGCTGGCTCTAATAATACTTTTTTAAGAAATTTTATTTATCTCAGTTTGACTTTAAATTTCAAGTAACACAAAGTTTCTTATATAATAATTAAATAGTAGAATACATATTAATAAAAGATTGTAAATAAACTTTTATTGATCATTTTATATTTCTAAATATATTTTCTTAACTTTATAAAAATCTGAAGTTTACTATAAGTCATTTGTCCTAATTGTAAATAAATATAAAGTCTGCTCTAAAAGAATTCAATAAAGGACTAATCTATATATTAGGTGGTACGATCATTATTGTGACATCTCAGAGTGAAATGTGATTATCGCGAAAAATCATAATGCCGGCTGAAATTATAATCTTAATTCTACCGGAACTATAGTTTAATGTTAACCAGAGTTATTAATTAATGTCAGCCGGAATCGTAAATTTAATACTAGCCGGAATTATGAATCTTAATTTTACCAAAATTACAAATCTAATGTTAGTCGGAATTACAACTTATAAAAGTTTTTCAGGAGACTGTTATCTTGTATCCTTATTCTTTATTGTTTTGAATCTTGCATAAAAAATGGTTATAGAATATTCTCCATATCAGAGGAGAGATGATTTTCCTTGATTGATTCTATCTCCTGCTATTATTGGGTTTGTTAAATTGTTTTTATAAATAACTTTAAACTTTTTATTTTGAAACAGATTTATTACTATATTAATGAAACCAGCTGGAATTTTAATTCTTTCCATTACCTTTTTTAACATATCCAGGCTAATAGTATTATATACTTTAGTTACTATATATCCTAAAAGAGTATTCAAAGTTCTTTTTTACTCTTTTATATATTTTTACAAATATTGTTCAGGATTGAAATAGGTTCTATTATACTTTTACTAAAACATTCTACATAGTTAGGATCTCTGATAATATTATTCATCTTACAAATATTTTTTAATCTATTAGTAAGAATTTTTATAAAGTACTTTCTTGTTACTTTTAGTAAAACCATGGATCTTATATTTATCAGATTATATTTTCCTGGCTTTGACTTTATAATTAAATAGATATAGCTTTATTTCTATCACATTGAAATTATTTTTCATCTTAAAAAGTAGTTAAACATTTTTCTCAAATATTCTTTCCTTCAGATTTTAATCTCTTCAATATTTTATAGCTTATCTGTAATTTGTTTAATATTTTATCATTAGGAAGTATTAATAGTACTTTATTTAATTTCTCTATAATGATGAACTATAGACAATAATCTAAGTGGTTAGAGAATAATCCAAGCCATAAAATGAGAGAAATATCATCCCCTAAGTTGTATCTAGAGAAGGTTAAACTTTGTAGATGAGTGAGTCAATATGTGAAAGTCATAAAATATATAAATATCAAATATGTTTACAATAAAATAGACAAGTCATATTGGCCTGACTGTGGATTAAAAAAAAAAAAAAAAGTACTTTGTTTAATTTCTCTTGTAAGATTAACTTTAAGAAATCTTCATACCATGTTTTTTAAATATAATTTTAAGCTTGTATTTTGCTTTTCAATTATTTATTAGATTGCTAAAATCAGCCTTTCATTTTTTGAAAATATTTTGATAATATATTTTATCACTTTTTCTATTTTTTTTTTCTTAATTGTTATATATTTAGATTTATCTTTCTTGATTTTGATTCTATTCAATACTATTTTTATTCTTTTTCTATTCATTAGAGAGCTTACCATTCATTTTTTATTGGTTTTCAAGTCTTTATATCTTTGTTCAAGAGCTAATTTGATTTATCTCTTGTTTTTTTTTTCTTTTAGCTTTTAATATACTAGCTTAAGATCTTCTACTGTATTATATCTTGAATATCATTTTTTAATAATGTCCAGAAAATATTAAAGATATTATGCCAAATGTAATAGTTTTCTATTTAATAATTAGGCTTATATACTTTATTATACTTATTAATAGCTATACTTAAAATCTATAAGCTAGTAATATTCTTTGTAACTATAGCTTTTTTATAGAGTATTGTATTTTAGTTGAAACAAATTTCTTTATTGTTAGCTTATTATAAGCTGCTTTGCTTATTTGTTTTTTAAACACTTCCCAGATCTTGCTAACCCAACTATCTTTTTTATTATTTTTTGGCTTTATTTATAACAGTAAATTCAGATTTATATTAAGCTTATATGACATGTTATTACTAAATACTTACTATTGTTTTGGTATTGATTTCTTTATATCAATTCTTTTGACAGGCCTTGTTTTAACTGCTTCTGCTGTATTTCTTTTGAAAAGGCCTATATAATGTATCATTATTATGAGCATAGTGTAATTGCTATCTGTAATTTCTTCTATACTTTGATTATAAATTATAGAATAGGATATTTTGTTAAGTTCTATAATATTTAGATATAGTCTATATGGCTACTATTTATTGCATCTTGTCATATTAAAGTTTTGTTCTTTTTTTTTCATATTGTTTGTACATTTATAAATCTCTATTCATCCAATATATTTAATAATGAAATTTCTGATTGTCAAGAGAATTTAATACTTGCTTTAAAAGATAATGCTTTATATTTAGCTGAATTGTAAGTTATATTGAAATCTCTATTACTATTGTATAAAAGTTATTTTTATACTTTTATTTAATAAAGCTTGTCATAAATTTTTGACTTTATGACTTTTTTTTTATTAAAAAAAATATAAACTTGCATAATGTAAACTTTGTTTCTTTATATAAGAAAGTTAGTAGCTATCATATATTTTTTTGTTTCTTCTATAGATACTATATTTATTTTAGATCTTTTCTAATTAGAAGACTGATGCCTGCTTTAAAAGGGGTATCCTTATTAGTGCTATAGAAGTGTTTATAGGTATTTTGATTCCCAAATATCCACTTTACTTTAATCTTAGTCAACTTTGTTTTACATAACCCTACTATATATATTTTTTGTTCTTGAATTTTTTCAACAAGGTTATATTGTTTTGATCTTTTAGATATATTTCTAATATTATAAGTTTCTATTCTTACTACTTACTTTTCTATATCATCTTCTTGTTTTTCTTCTATGGGCTACTCTATTCTTTTATTATTGTTTAAAATTTTAATTTTCTTTAATTGCAAAAATATATTGATATTTTTATTGTCTTGCAAATAGACATTAGAATCATGATTATTCTGTTTCCTCTTATTATTTTTTGTTTTTGTTTATTGTGCTTTGCTCTTGTTCTTTGTATTAACTTTGGAAATAGTGAATTGATATTTTCATTTTTTCTATAATTGAACTGGTGTACCTTTTAAGGATGGTTGGCCCACTTTTTTAGTGGATCTTTTTTTAGCTTGTCTAGTCTTTTACTAAGTCTTTCTATTATCTTGATTAGCTATAATACTTTAGACTTCTGAATAATGGTCAACCTTTGGCTTTTGATCTTATATCTCATTTTTTATCTGATAGTTACTTTTTATATAAGGGTTTATTATCAGTTTCAGATTGATCTTATATAGTTTGACCTGATACTCAACTTTTTCTTATTCCTATTGATTCTCTATTGCTACCAATAGTTAACAAGATAGGTCTTACTATTTGTCTACTGGTTCTTAACTGATAACTATTATCAGTTTTATATTATATCCTTGATGTTTTTTTCCTATTTATCTTAAAATAAACTTCACTTTTTGTTTTTTAGCTTTTATATTCTTGTTTATTATTTTCTTTAACTTTTATAACTGGACTTTTTGAACTAATCAAATCTAATAATACTTTATTGATATAATGATTTTTGTATTCTATTCTAGTTTTTGATCATTAACTTTAATTTAATATTGAAGTGATTCTCTAAAATCTTTTTTATTTTCAAAATAGACTATTGCATAGTTTTTTAGAATCAAAGTAATCTTGTTTTTATATATATAAGAGGCTTTAGTCTTCATATAGTTTAGTGCTTTATTTATTAATTCAATAGATATTCTATTAATTTTATAAAATATTAAGGAGTATCCATTTCTTTCTTTCAATATTTGAATGACTTTTTTATTATTTAGTTCTCTATAGCTATTATAGATTGCACTTAATTATATCTTATCTTAATTATCCAATTTTAATTCGGGTTGTACTGTATATTCTCAATATGCATTTTAAATCTTTTCTGATAAAATAATATTCGGTATTCATGAATATTAACAATTTTTTTATATTTTTTCATTTCTTGTTTAATTAGAAATTTGTT